AAAAAAAAAAAAAAAAGAGGTAAGACTCCAGTCAAAACTGCCTGGGTTCAAATCCCAGCCCTTCCCCCAAGGATAACAAGCAGAGTACTTAACCTCTCTAGGCCTCAGCTTTCCCAGCTGTAAAATGGGGAGAATGCTAGTACCTTTCTCATAGGGTTGCAAACTCGAGATAATACCCATAAAGAGCATAGAACAGGGCCTGGCATCTAGTTAGAGCATAGTAAATGTTACTTTTTCTAGTAACTGTCTTTTACGTATAGTCAAAACACTGCAGTTCCAAGCAAGCACCCTTTTGTCCCCCTCCTTCAGTCTGAGTGTAAGGAGTACTTCCTGACATTATAGGCAAGAAGGGATGCTGGAAGGAATGACCTCTCACCAGCAGAGGTACACTGGCTAACAGGCACTACGTGAGGGCCGGCATGAGCACCAGCAGCTACCAACATTACAAAGAAAGAGACAACCAGACATCCGGTGCCTCCTGACACGAGAACTAGCACCAACTAGGAAGCCGGCTTGTGCCCCAACTTCCGCAAAAAAAGAAAATCAAACCTGAGCCTGATCAAGCCTCTACATCCAGCTACCAAGTTATAAGAAATACAGAGAACAGAGGACCAAGGGGATACAGTCAGCAAAATCCAGACTATGGGAATCTCTACAGGGCAAGTGATCTGGTTTTTTTCAATAGCCACGGGGGCAAAATAGACATAGAGGAAGAACCTACCAGTTAAAAGAGATTTAAAAGACAACCAAATTGCTACATTATTTCTGAGGCTGGAAGATGTTATGCTAAGTGAAATAAGCCAGTCACAAAAGGACAAATGCTACAGGATTCTACGTATCCAAGGTACATGGGGTAGTCCAATTCACAGAGACAGAAAGCAGTGTGGTGGCTGTCAGGGGCTGTGGGCAGAGGATGGGGAGCTGGTGTTTAATGGGTACAGAACACCCGTTTGGGAAGATGAAATGATGGGTGGTGGAGATGGACAGCAGGGGTGGCTGTACATCAGTGTGCATGTATTATATGCCACTGGACTGCACTCTTAAGGGTGGCTCAACTAGTAACATTTTATATAACGTGAGTCATGAGTCGCTCTTGGGCCCATTTTTATTTTTCCAAAAGCCTGTGGGGGATCTGACACCGGGCAGGGCTGATCTGCTAGACCCCCTTTCCAGACCTGTGCCTGATTGAACACTGTACTCAGGTATTTTTCCAGAAACCCCTACTAAACCAAAGGCTGGACGTGTGGGTTACATATTACCTCCCCAGCCACCATTCACACTGAAGCTCAAAAGTTCCTCGGAGGGGCGCCTGGGTGGCTCAGTCCATTGAGCGTCTGCCTTCGGCTCAGGTCATGATCCCAGGGTCCTGGGATCGAGTCCCCCATCGGGCTCCCCGCTCAGTGGGGAGTCTGCTTCTCCCTCTCCCTCTATCTACCACTCTGCCTACTTGTGCTCTCTCGCTTGCTCTCTCTGTGTGTCAAATATAGAAATAAGACCTTAAAAAAAAAAAGTTCCTCAGAGTCACTCAAGCCACCAGGAAGGCATGTGGATGCCACAGGGGAGCTTTCCCATTCACGTGTGGAATACTGCCCGCCACCAACCTGCGATGGAAAGATAGAAATCCTTGAAGTCCTTGATCTCCCTGGAGCCCTCGCAGGCTGCGAGACACTCGTAAAAGGCTTTGAAGAAATCGGGAAGGGCCAGCTCCATGTCCGTGACGGACGTCCTCCAGTTCTCGCCGTTGTAGGCCCGCACCGCCCGGATGAACAGGCTCTGGAAAGCGAGAAGAGGCGGGTGAAGCTCCCAGACGTGAAGGAGGCGGGCCGTCCAACCAAAAGGAGTCAGACCACCGTGGAGTTACAGTCTCATGCGTCCCAAGAAAACCACGCCAACCCTTAATTAAAGATGAGGCCGGCCAGGAACTGACTTACATCTAGCTTTTTCTATCCTATGTACAATGGCACGCTTCTTATTTAATTTAATTCAAAAAGTAGGAGGTGCTTGATAATAAAATCAAATTCAAATCAAGAAAAAAAGAAAAACTAGAGTGACAGAAATCAGGGCAGTGGCCTCCGAAGGTCAGGGGTTGGGACAAATGCTTGACTGGAAAGGGGAGATGAAAATATTCTTTCTTTTTTTTTTAAAGATTTTATTTATTTATTTGACAGAGAGAGACACAGCGAGAGAGAGAACACAAGCAGGGGGAGTGGGAGAGGGAGAAGCAGGCCTCCCACGGAGCAGGGAGCCCGATGTGGGGCTCGATCCCAGGACCCTGGGATCATGACCTGAGCCGAAGGCAGACGCTTAACGACTGAGCCACCCAGGCGCCCATGGAACCTTATTTTTATTTTTATATTTTATTTTTATTTTTATTATTTTTTTTAAGATTTTATTTATTTGAGAGCGAGAGAGAGAGACAGCGAGTGGGGAGTGGGAGAGGGAGAGGCAGGCTTCCCACGGAGCAGGGAGCCCGATGCGGGGCTCGATCCCAGCACCCTGGGATCATGACCTGAGCCGAAGGCAGACGCTTAACGACTGAGCCACCCAGGCGCCCCGAGATGAAAATATTCTATGTTGTGACTACGGTGGTGGTTACACACTCGCATACCTTTACCAAAACTCATCGAATTATATACTTAAAACTGGTAAATAAATTTTAAATAAGTTCTACCTCAATAAAGCTGATCTTTAAAATTGAAGCAGAGAAAAGATACAAGCTTTAGAGCAGTGCCAGATACACTGCCCCCAACAGTTAAGTATAAAATAGGAATGCCAAGCATTAGTACTAGTTACTAGGGGGGTGGCCATGCACTGGATAGTGGAACTTCAAGAAATTTCTGCTGCCTGTTGACTGGACCAGATAAAAGAGAGATAACGAAGGCTGAGGAAGCTGCTTGGTCTCACAAGAAATAAGTAGAGATCTTGGGCACATGCACGACCCTGCTCTCGTGGAGGGCCCAGGACAGGCCCGGAAATAAGCGTGGCACACTCCATTTAGAGCTCCTGCTCAGCTGCTCCAGAATGGGGGTGTCTAAGGACCACCCCTCAGACCAGAACTCTTCACCAAGCTTAAGGTGTCAGGGAGAGAGGGTGATCTCCCCTAAAGCTCCTGAGCAGGCAGCATCCCCTGGAAATCAGGCAGGCAGAGAACTGAACCACTTGCCTAGAGGCTGGGAACACGAGCAGCCACGCCAGGCAGCTGGCTCTGCGGGGGTGGCAGGGCAGCAGCAGCAAGAAGAAAGCCCGGCATGGCGGGGGTGGCCCTGGGCACACAGCCGGGCAGCCCCACCACACCCGGCAGGACTCCAAAGAGGGAAGGAGTGAGGCACAGCGCACTGACCACAAGCACTCGGCTCTGCTCCCCAAGCCCAGTGAAAACCACAGGCAGAAATCCTTTTCACGGGAGAATGGAAAAGGAGCCAGCAGCAGACAAGATGTTCCGACTTTTGGAAGGGCAGAAAGCCAAATTATCACAGAGGAGGGTCTGGGGCGAAGCGACCTCCCTCCCCCACTACGCACTGCACTACATCCCACACGTGTTGGCATTTGCAGGCACTGGCGACCACAGAGACTGGTGCCAGGCCCAGAACAGAAGGCAGGGCTGAAAGTCTGAACGGGGCTGTTGGAGGCCCACCCACCTGTGCACCCAAGGGGTCCCACCTCCCAAAGCCGCTCCTCACCAGAGACTGGTGATTTATTCTAGAGACTCTATCTATAAAGGCTGTAGGGTCAGGGATCAGGCATTGCAGATCGAGAGTTGAGGCATGAGGCTAAGAACCAAGAAGCAGGTAAAGTCTCTGACTCAGCTATGAGGCCCCCACCCCTCTCCCCAGACTGGCTCTCAGACACAGGCAGACAAGCATGACACTTCACTAGTCCTGCAAAAGGCTGGAGAATTCTTCCCTGGAAAACTGAAGGGCCACCAGAATAGAGACTCTGCACCCTATATTTGAGGGTCACCACCAATGACAAAGTGTGCTTGCAGTCTGGTCACACGACAGGTAACCCTAAAGTCAGTCCTTGGATACTTTCAGCACATCCTGCTGTTTTCAACCCTACCCTAACCCTTCCTTGGTACCCATGCCCCTGGCATCCAAACTCGATAGATCTGGACAACAGTAAGTGCTCAAAGGAGTTAGTCTTCCTCATTCATTCCCATCAGACTCCCCTTCAAGATGCCTAGATTTCAGTAGTAGCCTCTAATCTGTCAAGTCAGTCCTCCAAGCTCCTCGATTCCCTTTCCACCTCAATACATATGGGGTGTGTGTGTGTGTGTGTGTGTGTGTGTGTGTGTGTATAAAAAGATGTGTCTTCTAGTTTCATCAGAAATGGAAACTTATGCTCCTGTTTCTTATATTCTTGGTCATTTCTGGATGATCTCCAAGACATGTATTTATTCCTCTATCTTTAAACTAAATGATCAAATGACCTTATTTCTTTTAAAAAAATATATTTATTTATTTTAGAGAGGGAGGGAGAGCAGGAGTGGAGGGGGGCAGAGGGAGAGAAAGAGAGCATCTCAAGCAGACTCCCCACTGAGCGAGGAGCCTGACATGAGGCTTGCTCTCACGACCCTGAGATCATGATCTGAGCAGAAATCTAGAGTCGGACACTTAACCGACTGAGCCACCCAGGCACCCCAAAATGACCTTATTTCTAAAATACAGCATTTAAAGGAAACGTGGCTTTAAGTGCATCATAGAATATAAAATCTCATTCTCAAATGGGTCAACTTTGTGCTAAAAAGTCAATCATTTCCATTGTCATAATATTCATCAATGCCATCAAAAACCATTAGAGGTCCTTAGATGTCAATAGCTGTTCATCAAGATCCGCTTCTTTAGCCACTCACACTGCAGCTACCTTGCTGTGTAAAAACCCAAATATACCTCGAATGACTTGGTTTCCAAGTCCTTAATGTAGTCCTCGGCATCAGGCAAGCTCTTGTAATACGCCATGTTTCTCTTCATCATTTCATCATCAGGATGCTTCAGTAGAAAGGTGTGAGCGGCAGCAATGGCTTTTGGAAGATTATTCGCCTGAGTACAACAAAGTAAGAGGAGCTCTACTCAGTGGAGGATGAGCAGTGATTTTTGCAAAACAAGAATGTTCAGTCCTTCAAGTAACTGTGTTTCAACACAATGCTTCCAGCTGAGGGTTCAGTGACTACCATGGCCCATCAAGCCTTGCACTCTCTTGCTCTCCAGCTTCCAATGGGGCTCACCAGTGAGGAGCCCCAGTGGGAGCCTGAAGGAAGGCAAGGGGGTAAGTTGGATTACTTAGTCTCCTGGCTCCCTCCCTTCAGTCACCTTGGGCCACTATTGGCCCTTAACTGAAGGTCACAGCTCCTCTCGAAGTGGCCCTCTCTGGATAGTCTCGCTCCTTCCTGCTTCCTGGAACTTTCCTCTCCCGTGCCCTTTTTGGCCCAGGCGGAGTCACATCCACCAATACTAGCCTTTGTAAATAACCACCTTTCAACATCCCTCTAACTACCCAGTGGGACTACATCACACCTTTTCTGCTGGAAAAATATATTAATATTTTCCAATATATATATATTGGAAATATATATATATATATGATATATCCCCAAATATATTACTATCTTCCCAAGTCTCTCATAGAACCTCCTGCTTTACCATTCTCGATGACCCCCCCGCCCCATTCACTCATCCGTTCACTCAGCACACAAGCCCTCCTACGTGCCAGGTGCTATCCTAGGAAGTGGGTCCGTAGCAATGAGCAAAACAGGGGAAGAAAACCCTGCCTCCATGTGCGATATACTCCAGTATGCTTCCGTGTATCTCCGAGCAACCTCGATTAAGGTCTCTGGCCCTGGAGCTTCAGGTCTGGCCCCCTCGTGGACAGTGCCCAGAGGGCAGAGGTCCTCTGGGGGGGATCTGTGTGTTGGGGGGTATGGGCTAGAGCGATACAGACACCTCCCTGTGTGGACACTCAGCCAACAAGCATCGGGCCCCCATGCTAATGTGCTGTCTCTGGCTGTCCCCTGGAATCATGGCACGACCTGCTGTGGGCGAAGGGGAGGCACCCTACGTGTGCACAGAGACTCCTTCAGCCAACCCAGAGCGACGCTCAGAGGTGGAAATTAGGACATTAGGTTTGCAGAGAGAAAATAAAGGGATATCTGGTACATTCTGGATTTCTGAGAATCAGAGGGTAGCAGATTATCTGTATGAAACAGGACTGGTGCTGAGTCATCTGGAGACAGGGCAGCGGCTGCACTGGAGAAGGGCTGGGTGGTCACGAGGGCAGACTCCCAGGTGTCAGTGCTGATGTTCTGGGAGGGCCAGTCAGTGGCCTATGTGGGAACGCTTTTCAAAGAGTTCTACAGGACGCCTTACACCCGTGGCCAGAAAAAGGCTAGTCTGCCAGCTACAAGGACGGGAGGACGTATGAATGCAGCCCTCTAAAGCATTTGCCAACGAACTGCGATTCTCTAATTCTCAGAAGAGCATTTAGAAAAGGGGCACAGAGAGGGATTTTTAAGGCCTCTAACTTAGGACCTGAGTTTTAACAAAATGGAACCCCTTCCTGGAGAGGAAAGGGTGATTTATTCACTTCAGCTTGGGCCCTGCCAGCTGGAACATGGAGCCACATCTTGGCAGCTAACCCTCTGACAGAAACCCAGGCAGGTTCTGGAGAAGGGGGTGGGAGCACTACCCTCCCAGGTGCTCCTGAGAGACAGCCACCTGCATGAGAGGACCCCAGCTACCTACCAAACGAGCTACTCCTAAATCGGCCTCAATGCAGTGGCTGGGGGTGGGGGTGGGGGTGGGGAGACAGAGTCCTTGTCCAGGCAAGGTGGGGGGTAGGAGTGCCTGGGAGGGGGCCAGCTCTACCCGCTTAGTTTAACAACCATTAAAGATTTGATCAAGGGTGGGGGCCCACTTTTTGCTCGGCCTACGGGGAAGATGGGCATTTCACAGAGATGCAGCCCCGGAGGGAACCACAGCTGATGGTGTGGACCTAAGGTGGGCTGATGACATAAACCCCTATGGTGGGCTTCAGGGCTACCCACCAGGAGCACCTTCTCTGCAAGACCACACATCCGTGCCTCTTTACCTCCCTCTGACAGGCCAAACCCACCATCCCCACCTGTGTGTTCAACTGAGACGTTTGTCCTTAATCAGTGAAACGGAGGCCTGGGAACCAGGGCAGCACAAGAACACTGCTCAGCCTCGCCACAGCAGGCAGCTCTGTCTCCGGCACCAGCCTCCAGCCTTCGGGTGCCCGGCAGGGCGTATGTGCCTGCCACCAATCACGTCCTCCTACCCACAGACCGAGTGTGACAACAGAAACATCGTTAAGGAAAAAAATAAACCATACAGTAACACCACCTCAAATCACTTCTTCAGTGACTTTCAGTTGAAGCAACTAACTGAAGATCCTGGCTTACTAATAAAATCCTGAACCTTTCCTGTCCTTTAAGAGATCTCAAAATACCAAGACAGATGGCATTTCACTTAGTTTTAAGTAAGTGATTGTTACAAGACCGGTGGAAGATTTTGAAGAATAGCTGTGACCATCCTGACCTTTGAGGACACCATCATGAAGGAGAAAACCTTTGCCTTCTGGTCACATTAAGTAAAATACTCTTCCCCTGCTCCCTATATCACTTGTTTCAAATTCATCTGTAGATAAATCAGCTTCTACTATCCTCCAGTTTTAAAAATAAAACATTTCCCCCTTGATTATATGACTCAAATTTGGTTCAGACTGTATCTGGCAAAAGCTATACAAAAAAGAATTAAATGAGTCATTTTTAACTTAAAACATAGTCCTTTAAGAGCCAGCCATCATTTTTCAATGTCCTGGAGCTTTATTAATCTTATCCCCTGGTTCTATTTTAAAACTGTTTTTTTATTGCCAGGACAAACATTCACAAAACCAATACTTTATAAAATGTAAGCACAGAAATAACTCATCTTTTCACCTATTTAGGGTTTTGTGCTATTTTATTGCTCTTATGAATGCAACAACACAAGCTGGCTCTGTTTCAGAAATACAAAAAACAGATCTTGCAGTCCAAAGACTCAAAGCAAAGTTTCAAAACAAAACAACTTCTACCTCCAGAGTCTGGAATATGCCATGAATCTATTTTTGTAGTCATTAAAATAAATGCAATATATTCCTTTAAAAATCGTTTTCAATTAGATAAAGTAGAAACTGGACTTTGAGAGGGCTTTCTTGGCAAAACCTGGTAACGACCCGCCAAGATAAAGTCGCTTTATCCAGGAACAGGGCATTCAGCCCATTCTTAAAATTTGCAGGTCCCCAGAGAAAGGACTCCAAGGATCAAGAACTGCAATTTGTGGCTATTTTTAGCCAGCAATCACAGAATTTAAGCAGCCACAAAGGAGGAAGACAACTGTGTTAAATTCCAGATGAAAGAGCCGATACCAATCCTGATGAACCACAGTGCACAGTTCTGCTCTTTTAGGCTGGGTGTGTGCTCCCGACGAGCCCCTGCCCTGTCCTGGCCTCAACTTCCTCCTCTTTAAAGGGAACTAGACGGCAGCTCAGGTCCTCTTCCCCTCCATTACTGAAAGTCACCACTTACTTGAGAAAAAGGGGTTTTAAAGATACGCACAGAAAAGACGAGTCTGTCTTCAAATAACAGCTAACATTTATCAGGCACTGTTGGATGGCTAGACACTCTGTGTACGTATTCTCTGCCCCAGAATAACCCTTCCAGAAAAGTATTTTCATCCTTATTTAAGATGAAGAAGGGGGGAGACAGGATTTGGAGGCGTCCTTGGGCAACGCTGGGTGGGAGCAGGCTGGATCGGGAAAGGCGGTGCGAGGCCGCCCCAGGCGGAGGGGCGGAGCCCGGGCCTGGGGGCGGAGCCCGGGCCTGGGGGCGGAGCGGGCCGACTTGCCTTGAAGTAGGCGAACTGGAGAAACTTGTAGGGCTCCCGGCGCTGGAAGTCGGCCAGCACTTCGCGGCTGGGCTGCGACTGGCGGAAGGCTGGCAGGCCCTGCTTGCAGCGCTTGAGGCAGTGCGCGCGGCGCAGCAGGCCCCCGAAGAGGCGCAGCTCGGGGTAGTGCGCGAGGCCGGCGGCGGGCTCGGGCTGGGGCACCGCGCTGCAGTTGCGGTGGCAGAAGGCCTCGCTGTCGCGTAGCAGGCGGTGCAGCCGCAGGCTGATCTCCAGGTAGCCCACGCTCTCCGCCCAGTGCTCGCCGCTGTACTGGTCCAGCGCGTGCCGGTAGGCCGACTCGAGCGGCATCAGCTCGTCCCGCGGGAAGCTGCGGAAGCTGTAGCGCTCGTACTGGGCGCGCCCGCAGCGCAGTGCACAGCCCGCGCACAGGAGCGCCAGCAGCGCCGCGGCTGCCCCGCGCCCCGGCTCCATCGCGCCCGGCGGAAGGAAGGAAGGAAAGAAGGAAGGAGGGGGACGAGAAGGCAAGGAAGGCGGAGGACTGCGCAACGCGGCAAGCCCAAGGCTTGGGAGGCGGGGACAGCAGCCTCCGGCCCGCCCCGTCCTGCCGCCCTTCCCCACCCAGCCGGGGGGTCCGGGAGCGGCTGCCGGCGCAGGGACGGTGCCCTGGGGATGGCGCGCTGCCCTCTGGTTCTGACCCGGGCTCCCGGCCTCCACTGTTCATCTGTTTGGAGCTGGCGGCCTGCAAGCCAGGCGCGGCCCTAACGCATCACAGCGCGACTTAAACTTTCTCATCACTTAGAAGACGTGAAAACGCAGATTTCTAGGCCGTGCTCTCAGCGTTTTTGACTCAGCAAGTCTGGAGTGAGGGTCTGAGGATTTGCAGTTCTAACCAGCACCCTGGTGAGGCTGATGCTGAGGGCCCAAGGCCCACACTTTGATAACACTGCCAACGACCTTACATTTCAATGGGAGAGGAAGAATAAATAAAATTAATAAGGATGTCAGTGGCACTTTGTAAGCTATTTATCTGATCAAGTTGAAGATGCACATACCTTGAGTCCGCGATTCCACTCTTCAGAATATGATCGAGAAACGTGTGTGTGCATCAAAAGATATGGATGGAATGTTAAAGGCAGAACTATTATTTTTCTAATTCTTTAAACTTTTTATTTTTAAATTATTTGCAGAAAAGTTGCAAGGATAGTACAAACAACTCTTATGTATCCATGATCCACATTCCAAATTGCTAATATTATGCCACATTTCCTTTCTTTAAATTTATCTATATATTTTTTTCCTGAATCATTTGCAAGCAGGTTGCATACATTAAGCCTACTTGACCCTTAATCTTTCAGTTTGTAGGTCCTAAAAACAAAATTAGACAATGATCAAATCCAGGAAATTTCATATTAATAGAATAATTTAATCTACATTCCCTATTCCAGTCTTGTAAACTGTCCTAATGTCTCTTATGGTTTTTTTCCCCCATGGACAGAATATAGTCCAGGATTATGTATTGTATCTATTTGTCTCCACAACGTAATGGTCTGTAATCTTTTAGCTTTTCTTTTCTTCAGCTTTTCTCATTATTCCATTGACATTTTTCAAGAATACAGGCCAAAACAACAACGCGAGCTGCTAAACAACTGTTAGAATGGCCAAAATCCAAAATACTGACACCACCAAATGCTAACGAGATGTGGAGCAGCAGGAACTCTCGTCCATTGCTGTGAGAATGCAAAATGGCACAGCCACTTTGGAAGACAGTTTGGCAGTTTCTTACCAAACTGAACATACTCTTACCACACCATCCAGCAATCAATCGCACTTGTTAGTATTTACTGAAATGAGTGAAAAATTTATGTCCACACAAAGACCTGCACACAAATGTTGACAGCAGCTTTATTCATAACCACCAAGACTTGGAAGCAAACAAGATGTCCTTCAATAAGTGAATGGATAAAGAAACTGTATAATTTATCCAGACAATGGAACATTATTCAGCATTAACAAGAAATGAGCTATCCTGCCACAAACAGACATGGAGGAAATGTGAAAGAAGCCAATATGAAAAGGCTACATACTGTATGATTCCAACTGTATGACCTTCTGGAAAAGGCAAAACTATGAAGGCGGGCGGTGAAAGGATCAGTGGTTGCCGGGCACTGGGGGGACACAGGGATCAATAGGCACAGCACAGACAATTTTTAGGGCAGTGAAACTATAATGGTGGATAAGTGTCATCATACAATTGTCAAAACCCATGCAATGTGCAACACCAAGAGTGAGCCCTAATGTAAGCTGTGGACTTTGGGTGATGACGTGTTAACGTAGCTTCACTGATGGTGACAAATGTACCACTCTGGTGCAGAATTTTGATATTGGGGAAGGCTGTGCATGTGTGGAGGCAGGGGTGTTGGGGGGGGTCATCAAAAAGACATGACTGCCTATCAACCTGTGCGTTCAACATGGAAGGTGACTCACCCGCTCCCTTGTCTTTGGAATGTGGGTTCCCCATGCCTTTCCTGCTCCCAGAAGCTGCTCCAGGGACACAGCCTTGAGATAGTGATGTGGTGTTGAGAACACCTGCACACTATACTTGACTAAGCCCAAGTAAGGCCTCTTTATGAACTTAAGATGTGGCGGGCAGGTGCGGGGATCCGATGCTGATGCTGCCGCCCAAGACAAGCCTTTGTATGTAAGTTCCTTTTGCTATTAAAACTGCCATCCACCAGCCTGGAGTGGCCTGCCTCTTTCTTCCATCTCTCCCTGCCCCCTCCCTTCGCATTCAGTGTCAGATTTCACCCAGGAAGCTCCCCAGAGGGTTGTGAACCAAGGGGGGCTGGGCAGTATATGGAAAATCTCTGTACCTTCTACTCAATCTTGCTACAAATCTAAAACTGCTCTGACAAATAAAGTCTATTTTTTTAAAAAAATTTTTAATAAAGTATTTTTAAAAGTCTATTTATTCATTGGTGTTTCTCTGATCTTTGCTCATGATTAGATACATATTAAGTGCTTTTGACTTGAACACCACGGAAGTAATATTGCATCCTTCTCAGGTGTCACATGGGAGGAACACAATGTCTGCCTTTATCAGCGATGTTAATTTTGATTACTTTGCTAGGGTTGCATCCATTTTCTCCACTTCATTCTTTTTTATAAGTAATACGTGTTTTGGGCAAGATAAAACAGCTAGCAGGAAGCAGAAATAACCTATCCAATAAGCAGAAGAGTAGATTTTTTTTTTAAAGTATGTGCACATAGAAGAACATTTTACAGCAGGAGAAAAATGAAAGAATCCCAGCCACACATAACAACAGTTCAATCTAAACAATCTTAAATAAACAAACACAGAGTGATTGTATTTGTCTAGAATTTAAAAATATGCTGAAGTACACAAAATATTCTTTAGGAATGCAAACAATATGGTCTGGTTCATACAAACACACAGGGTAAAACCATAATGAGAAAGGAACCATAAACCAAAACTTTGGAAAGTGGCTTCCTGTAAGGTGGAAGGAAGGGCATGGAATTGGGAGAGAATCCATGGGGATGAGGGGGTGGGAATGACCATGAGGATGCCCACTGCATCATTTTTTTATGCCGTATATTTTTTTAAGATATTATTTTATAGTTACTTGTTATTTGAAAAAAACTTTTTGAACTATCCCTTCTGAATGGAGGGAAGGAGGCTGTGGAGAGAGCTGAGCTGGGAGTGGAGTGTGCCTGGTCCCCTGGGGCCTGCCACTCCCATTAAGTCCAAGGAAGCTGTGACGTTTGGTCCTGGTTGGTCACCATTGAGGAGTCATTTCTCATTACCCTTGGCCAAGCCCTTCCAGGTCCGGCAGCTCTATGCCCCTTCCAGGCCACTCTGCTTTGATAGTGGGGTTTGGGAAATCTTTGGGAGCTGCTTGGATCCCAGGCGACCTCCACATATTGCAAGCCAACCTGCCAGCCCCACAAAAGGTAACTCTAGGGGAGGAGACATGAAGGGTATGAAAGACTGTAAGAAGGCCACCAGGGCTTGAATATGAAGAGTGAGGTAAGGGAGTATGGGACAGCAAAGATGTGATGTGTTGCCTTTGAGGAGTGAGGTTGTGGGTGTGCAGGTGGAGGTGGGGAGAACAATTGCTTCCCATAATAATTCAACACAACCTGTAGAAGGAAGTGAAACCAGACACTGTCTTGTGTGGCTGACCCCTGTTTATGGGGCTGTTGAGCCTCAAGAGAGCTAGGTCTAACAGTGTCTCCTCATTATAGGGGCTAGTGTTCCCCCATGGGACTTTAATGACAAATTCTCTTTTGTATCATCAATTTATTCATTCTTTCAAAGCTCTGTTCAGCATCCACCTTATAGCAGGTCCTGCCCTTGGTGCTGGAATGCAAAGTTGAATCAAACATACTTCCTTGACCATGAGGGACTGCAAGTTGAGTAGAGATAAGACATCATTGTTTTTTATTTGTTACGTAAACCTATAGTGAACTATTGTGTGTCAGGTACATATTAGAGAAAAGATTATCAAATTTTTCCTCAGAGAACTCAAAGTCTGAAGAAGACAGGGAAGTAAGCCTTCAATGACCCTCCCATTAGAGCTGAATTGGAGACATGGACAGAGTCCTGTGTGGGCCCCAAAGAGGGCTGGGTAACCATCTTAAACTGTTCCAGCTGCTACAACAAAAATGCCACAGAATGGGTGGCTTATAAATGCAGGAATTGATTTCTCACAGTTCTAGGGGCTGAGAAGTCCAAGATTAAGGTGCTAGCAGATTTGGTTCTGGTGAGAGCCCACTTTCTGATTCATGGATAGCCGTCTTATCGCTGTGTCCTCACATGGTGCAAGGGGCCAGGGAGCTCCCTGAAGTCTCTTCTATAAGAGCATGAATCACATTCATGAGAGTCCTGTTCTCATGATCTAATCATGCAAACGACCCCCAAGGACTCCACCTTCCAATACCCTCACATGGTGGATTAGCTTCCAACACAGGACTTTGGGGGTGGGGACACCAACATTCAGTCGATGGCACTAACCTAGTCTGAAGCAGGGAGGCTAGGGCTCAGGGGACAGGTGATTAGTGGTGGTGTCACTGAGATGGGTTTGATACAGCAATTATATAGATTGTGATCACATTACCACTGATACTCTCTGACCTAGGAGTCACAAAATGAAGTATCTCATGGGGATGTTCAGTTATGTCAAAAGTGAAGTGGACCAGATGGATGGAGATTGTTGCCTACTAGAGGGGCCAACCCTGCCTAAAGGAGGTCCCAGTGCATATCTCTGACCACTGTTACCCTGAAGGGGCCAAGGATCTGGTGTCATGAGACCTTCTGATCTTTGAAGAGAAACTGGAAATCCAGATTACATAAATCCCCCTGATTAAATGTTGACAACTCTAGCAATTACACAGAATGTGAGACACTGATGGACCAACATGGTCGTTGTCAGAACAAATAGGCATTCTGGCCACAGCTGGTTGCAACCTTCAATGAGCTAGCAAATGACTCTGATCTTTCAGAGAAGTGAGTCACAGTCACA